GTGTATTTGCTTGAATTGAATAGAAACGCATTGATAGGCTGATATGTGTGTAAACCATGTGTGAAATGGTGCATAATGTGAATTCATGATAGATATATGCGATGTATGTGATAAATGCAATGAGTATGTTTGTGAACATAGTATGCATTCTGTGTTGATCGATCCCTCGGAGGATTAGCATTGTATAGCATCTTAGTATGCATTTTTGTGTTGAATGATCCCTCGGAGGATTTGCAGAACCTCGTATGATATGATGGTTACATTAGATTCCTTGGAGAATCGGTTGCATTGTGTGATTCCTCGGAGAATCGGTCATAACATGTAATCCCTTGGAGGATTGACTAGAGTATTTGATTCCGTGGAGAATCTGCTGAGTATTTGATTCCGTGGAGAATCTGCTGAATATTCGATTCCGTGGAGAATCTGATGAATATTTGATTCCGTGGAGAATCTGCTGAATACTTGATTCCGTGGAGAATCTGCTGAATACTCGATTCCTTAGAGAATCTGTTGAAATGAGTCGGTACCGCATTTGCATCTGCATAGAGTCGTGTGTCGGTCTTTATGAGTTGCATGAGTCATCTGTGCATAATGCATTAGTTGAATGAATATAACTGTGTATGTTATATATGATTGTTTGGAGGAACATATAGTGAATGTTCATATGTATGTGTAGAGACATGATTATTTGTATATGCTTAATGTGGTGAAAACATAAATTGAGTATGAATTGTACAAATATGAGTATATGTATATATACAATTTTATGCATTAACTGTTATGATATTGTTTCTCACCCTTCTGCTGTTTTATAATGCTCTATGAGGCATTGCAGAGTAGGAAGCTGGAGGTTCTTTTGTGAAGTGATGTCTTCATTCTTTTTGGTCAATGGCTCTGATATGTAACATCTGGGTAGTTAGGAAGCCTTGACTCCTTTGGAGTTACTTATGTTTTGATTCCTTGTGATACATCTGTGTATGTATCCGCTGTGGATATGGTTGTAAAGCATGAATTGATTGAATGGTTGTATATACTTTTATGAATGTGATCGATTCAATATTTGGATGTTTCCGCTTTTATTCTAAATATTGAGATGTGGGTTACCCATTGTTGCATATCTATTTTGAGCAGGTATCGTATGTGTTTAATTTCATGATAATGTGATGCGCCTCTTATATACCATGTTTTAATTAAACTCTGATGGAATAAATTTTCTAAGTGCCTAATTGATTTATTTGATTAATTGGGGGTATAGAAAGGGGGTGTTACACATGGCCATGATCTCCTAGGACAACAGGCCACGAGGCTCGTCTTTGCTACTACTGCTGGTCCAAGATGGGGAGTGGGCGTCCCATTTGTAGGTAGCGCAGAGGTCTCGTTGGGGAGACGGGATTCATGCTCGGCCCTTGGTTATGGGTGGAAGCGAACGTTGGGACTCTACTTGGTGGTCTCTTCTGGTCTTCTTAGGTTGTGGGGAATACTAGTTCCAGGGAGAAATCTGGTTGCATTTGCAGATGGTTAAGGTCTCTGGTTCTGGAGGTGTTTGACGGTTCCTCTCGCGCCAGGGAGGGGGACTCCGTCGTTGCTGACGTTCTTTCCTCGGTGGAGGGAATCTTGGATGACTGGTCTCTTCTAAAACTCCAATCCTTACGTTCTGGTTGAGGATTAAGAGGTTGGTTTTATTGAGAACCTCGAGGAAGAACGCCATGGTCGGGTCGACGCTGGGTGGAACTGGAACTGACAAGTGTTACGGGATAAGTGGGGCTTCGTTGTGATCTGCATGTGCAGGGGATGAGGAAGTTGTGGCTCCGTCCCTTTGTCGGAGGACGTCACCGCTATGAAAGGTGGTGGCCCCATCAGCATCAGTCTTGCTGACGGGGAGAAAAGCAGAGTTACGAGCATCAAGATTGTTGTCACAGGCGGCCACGATCAGGAATTTGAAGAATTGTTTTGGTCTTGTGTTCTACGCAGAGAGAAAAGACGGGGATAACAAGATTCCCACAGGCGGAGTCACTGATCTTACCGGTTGATCAGAATCTAAGGTGGGCCAAAGACAAGCGTCTGCGATGCTGGGTGTGAAAGAGGAGGAGGGGTGTACCTGCAAGGCACTCCGATGCTAAAGTAAGAAAACGAGCAAGAGACAGCAAGTACAAAATATGATTGTTTCAGGGTGAATATTGGATACCTGACCCTCTCAAGTGAGAGGTTTTTTATAGTGCCCCCAGCGCTTGGCCATTGGTCCCTATTTTTGGGACGAGATAACCATTTCCCGAAGAATAGGTAACTGTCAGAACTATCCGTTAGGATGGGCAGACGTGCCCATAACTAGCAATTGGCACGGGCACAAGCGTTTTGGTTGTTTCTGGATGGTGGAACCATGCGTGACAGACAGAAACTGACGGAGAGAAGTGTTGTGACCAAAGGTAAATTGGTCAGCCTCCCTCCTTGGAGGGGAAGAAAGGTAAATTCTCCCCACAAAGTGGTTGGACTTAGGCAATTGGGCCGTTCTGGGAGCAGAAGTGGATTGGACCATGCCTAGTCATTGGGCCAGTCCGGAACAGAAATGGATTATCGAGCCCTAATCTTGACATATTTTTACCAATTATTTAAAACCGAAATTTTCTACCGTTGATTATAATTTTTTTAATGCAATCGTTGCGTTACGAAATCAAACCAACCACCTTTTATGTTCTATGTTTAAAACGATTCCAATTGTAGAACGGCGGTAACATCACACAATCCCTGCAGATATGATAACAAAAACCCACACTAATATTAATTTCAACACCGTCCATTACCTCACTTCTATAGTCGAGGTATTATGCATTTTGCGTCAGAGGTAACAAGCCTTTTTCGTAGTAGTGGAGTGATACCGAAAATTTCAAGTGTCTACCGAAAATTTTGAAAACAGTAAGTTTTTTTTCTGAAAAATTCAAGATTTCTGTGAGAATCCTTTAATTTTGTACCCGAAAGTTTTGAAATCCAGGTATTTTTCCAAAAATTTTAGAATTTCTAGTATTTTGTTATAACATTTTACCGGAAATTTATGAATTTCCGGCAGTTCAAATATTTTGGTTTTTTCCCATAAATTTCAGAATTTTCGGTGATTTGTGGGAAATTTCAAAATTTTCGGAAGTTAAGTGATTTTTTTTTGTAGTGAAATACAGCGGGAAGGACGACACCATTGCAGGCAGGGCCACAGATAGAGAGGTCGCCTAAGTTAGGGCTGTTGAGGATGATTCTTCCTAACTACATGTTGGACGAGTAGTTCCAACCAGTTTCACGCATTTTGTAGCACCCAACATTGTGCGATGAGATCAGAGGAGCATCCTAGAGATGATGTTGAGGATGTTCATGCTTAGGAGAAGTAGGGTCAGGCTAATCATACCCAACAGTTGAGACAGATGTGCTACCTGTTGCTAATGAGGTGGCCGAGATAGATGCCCCTATTGTTGATGAGGTGATCGAGCCAGACTCCACTATTGCTGATGATATGGTCGACGGAGCCGTCTGTGCACACGAATGAAGAGTTCCCTGGAGGATCCATTGACCGATCGGTGCTTACGAATATGCTGACCACGTGGATACTGATTATAGCAGTATATATATTTTATGTTTAACTTTAATTTATTTACTATTGTTCCATGATATGTTGAAATCGACTTATAATTTTTTAAACTTTGTTTGTTATAGGATTGTCCCACGTTGAAGGTGACATCACACAGTTCAAATATGAAGAACTTCCTTAAGACTCCGATGCCTGAGCAGGTCAGGCGAATTGTACATGATTTTGGTCTCCTCTCATTTGAGAAATGGTTACATAACTTAAACAGACGATTACATAACTTAAGAAAACAATAATAAATAAGAAAATATAAACACTACCAGTTGATTCTGGACGTTTCAACATCTTAATTATGTCGTTGATAGATTTTAAAATCTTCGCATCTAACTTGATCGACCCCTTAGTTAGTCTACAGCGAAATAATCTCTACATAATTGTAAAATCTTCATCGGTCTTCAACTCAATAAGATTGTATGTCACCCTTCCATCAGTATCAATCCAATCTTCACGAGACTCGATCTTGATCAACTTGAATGTCAAGGCAGCGAGAGATATGGTGTCATCCGGAACTCTACAGAAGGTGCAGCTCCGTTGAAGTACATTTTTTTTCTTGCTTCTTTCTTAATTAAAAATTGAAGAAGAGACATTTTGAAATATTTTTTTCAACTGGTAACCTCTATTTATACAACTTTGAATTCATTTTGAATCATACAAAATGATCGGTGAAATCACATCCATCCAAAAATGTCAGGAAAGTCTTATAAAATTGACCTATCGAAAATTTGATTTTAGTCTAAATTTCTGATAAAACATAATAATTCCTTGTGTGTTTTATGGTGCCAGTGTGATTGCCCTTGATATAGTCACAACTTCGCAAACAGTATCAGAATTTTGATGATTGAAGAGCAATAGAGGATTAATTTGAAAAGTATACGAGAATAAGATTGTGTGTGAAAATATATATACATGTTTTCATTTTTTATTTTAGAAAATATAAACCATTAAACGAATCTGTGTATTTTTCTGCTCCACACATAATCAAATTATCACCACAGAAGCCACATAAAATTATTTTGGATAAAAAACTGAAACAGAATATAAGTGTTCTTTCTTTCTCTTCTCCATTTGCAAACCTCCAAGGTCCTAATCTTGTAAATGAGAAAATGGAGAGTTTTACTCTCTTATATAGATCCACCTTAAAATATAAAAGTTGGAACAGCACTTACATGATGTGAAATGAACTGGTTGAGAATCAAGCAATTGCTTTAAATGTAATGAAATAATGGGTTGAAGACCCAAAGCAAACATAATTTATAGTTTTTACAAATAAATGGCAATTGCAGACATATCCTAAATGTTAGTCCTAGCTTGGTCAATTAAGCAATGAAATAATAAATTCTAAAAACATGTTAAGTAACAATATCTATCAAACTTCTTATTCACGACTCTTCTTCTTTGCTAGATGACCAGTCTTCCGCTTATGACGACTGAAATCAGACACGAATCTGAATGTTTGCCCACAATCTGGCTCCGCACATACATAAGGACGTGCACCGGTGTGGACTCGGATATGCTCAGTTCGAGCCCATGCCCACTTGAAAGACATCTTGCACCCTTTCCAGGGACACTTGAGCGGGCGGTCATCTTCATGAACTCGCCGGTGCTGCACCAGATATTTGTGTGAAAAGAACTTTTTCCCACAACCTTTTACTGGACAGATATTTTTCTTATGATGCAGGAGCTCTTGTTTTGACTCAAAACTCATGGTGCATCCCTCAATGTCACACTGAAATTCTGCTTCCTCGTCCTCTGTTTTGGCATTGCGAGCTGAAACAAGAGTAGCTGCTGTCCTTTTCCTTTTGGTTTGTTTGTCTTTTGATTTTACTTCAGACTCCTCAGCTTTTGGGAGTCTCTTTCTAAGGCGTGTGCTAGGTCCACCTTCTTCGTCTTCCAAATCTAAACTAGGCTCTCTGGAGTTACCAGATTGTTTATTTCGCAAATGAGAAGGCTGCTTTACTTGCTGAGCAGCCTTTGATTTCATCGGCATCTGAGCCCCTCGTTTCACTGGCCGAGGTGTCTGGTTTTTCATCGGGAGAGATTTTGCTTGTTTCATCCGTTTAAGTGTCTTTGGTTTGGATTGTTTACTTGGAAGAGTTCTGTGCTGCTGAAGAGAATCATCTTCCATTTCATTATCTAAACTCATATCATCTTCATCCTTGCATTTAGCTTTCTTCTTTTTAGAAGTTCTATGCAGCAGACGGGCATTGTCGTCAGCCGAGTCATCTATAACTTCTTCATCAGTCTGTATGGTGTGCCTCCTGCTCTTAGGAACTTTCCGCTGCTGCTTCTGAAAGTGATCCTCTTGTTGGTCATCGGACACTTCATTTTTAAATTCTCTATGAATGCCTTTGTTTTTCCTTCTAGAAATTATTGGTTTTTGATAGGGATCCTCCAATTGGTCGTCAAATATTACATCTTCCCTTACACATTTGGCTTGCCTGACTTTAACTGTTCTTCTTTGGTACTTGCGACAATAGATATTCATTTGGTCATCCGATACAATATCCTCTTCCTCTTTGTGGAGGTATTTGGATTTCCTACTTCTAGAATAACTCCGGCGCTGACTCTGCATGTTCAGCTCCAGTTGGTCATCTGATATCAATAAATCTTTTTCAGCAAGGGAACTTCCTATCCTGCTTTTAGGAATTCTCTTTTGTTGCTTCTGACAGCCATTCTCCATTTGGTCATCAGAAATTGCATCTTCTTCACTAATGAAGTTGGCATCCAAAGAATCCTCTGAAATTGAGTCTCTCTCTGTATCTTCATCTTGCTTGCTTCTAAGTTCTCCCATCTGATGACAATCAGAATCATAGTCCACTGCATCATCTGAAACCACATCATTATCAATAAATTTAGCTTTTTTGACATTAAAACTCCTTCTATGTCGCATGTGATAATCATCTTCAAGCGGATCATCAGAAACTACATCACTTTCAGTGCAATTTTTTTCTTTGCTCATAGGTTCTCTATGACCATACGGAGAACAATCCCTGTGCAAAGCTGCACCATCTTTCTCAACACTCCTAGCTTGCTTGCTTCTAAGAATCCTCCTTCCCTGAGGATTGGATTTATTTTCGGTGGAATTATCTAAAACCACATCTTTTTCAACAAAACTTCCTTTCCTGGTCCGTCCACTGTTTAAGGCCGTCTTCCTTTTCCTAGCGGATTTTGTACTAGCAGTTTCAGTTTTAGGGGTACTTCCCGATCTCTCAATTTTCACATCAGGCAATGTGAATCTATGTAAAATTGTCTCATCCTCATCAACATCTTCGGAATCCCTTTTTGCTAAAAGGGGATGGACCTGATTAGACATCCAAACTTTACCACACCATTTTCCAGCAACTACCTTTTTCTGCCTGTCGGTCCTTCTCTGATAGACCTGTGGTTCTATTGGTGAGCTTGCTGGAGAGCTACAACCAAATGCATAATATATAACAGGATTGTAAGGCATCTGCTTGCTATAAAGGGGAGAGCGGCTAAGATTTGCACTATAAAAGAGATTTATTCCTAGCTTTACAGCCCAGTCCCCATTCCCGGGAATTGCTTCTTCACTATCCACAGCTGCCTGAATCCTCTCTTCATCTTCCTTGGTGCTATGCCTGTAGGCAATATTCTTCCATGTATAATCAATCCCCAACTCTTCTGCCCCCAACTTTGCTTCATCCTCTATCTTGGGATAATCTAAACAAGTAAAATAAATAATGAATAATTTGAAGAAAAGAAAAAGAGAAGAAAACCAATTAACTGTATAAGCAACTATGAGATGCAGATAAAGAAGTTAACAGTAGCAATGAGGTGTTAAAACACCAACAGTTATTGAGCCATGAAACGAACAGAAGAATACTTTTTCAAATCAGAGAGATGCATCATTTTAGACATCCTGACTAGTACAACTCATCATAGCTAAAAAATTCCAAAGCTGAAATATGGGAATTAGTATAGTCAATTTCCTACATTGTCCATCACATAAATAAAAATTATACACAATATCTTTGCAGATCTATGACTTCCAAAATAAGTATAAAAAAAATCGCAACTACTTCAAAATAAATAAATAAATTGTAAACAAAATTAAGATTTATGATTTTTTATATGGTCCTACTAAGGGAATTGGTTAAGAAATTAAGAAATAGAAAGAATTATATTTTAAAACTGTGCTTCCCAATAATAATGTTCTATTTTTGGTTCCTTAGCACATCGGTTAACATGAAAAGTTCTACTTTAGATTGATCTTTACTCAAGAAATTGATTAAATAACAAAGCTCTCCTATCTTTCTTGTTTGAGAACAGCGATACCATTCTATGTGAAGAGCTGCAAAGCATACATGAAAAGAAAAAGACAAGAAAAGAAAGACCACAGGTAAATAAAAATATTTTATTTTAAATCTGTCGGTGAATTGTATGATGCCACCTATTTACACAAGAGTTCAAAGCTTTTACTAGAAGGGAAACAAATGAGCCGCAAAAGGCAAAGGAACATACCTGGATGACATAAGAGCACTATGTGGGCTCCACCTATTGGCCGAAGTTGCTTCTCTGCTTCTACAGCATGCTCTAGACAGAATACATGCATTCTAGACGAGTCTTCATCACATTGCTGTACCAATAAAGCATTTTTACGATTGACAGCAACCATGGCTTCAGCCGACAATGACTTTTCAGCATTATTAGCATCTTGGGAACTATATGCAATGGAATAAGGCACTGGCCTTTTATTTTCAAATGCATCCTCTGAAGTAACTTTATAATCCTGTTCCTCGAATGATTGTTCACAAGGCTGACTCAAATTAACGTCAAATATATGTGCTTCGTAATTGACGCTCTCTGAAAGTATATCATCTTTATCATGTCTAGTCATGGGATTAGCGTGGGAAACATGAACATTAGAAGGGAAACTTTCAGATGTAGAGTTTATCGCATTCAATTCATGATCGTCAATTGCATCTTCCTCAGAGTCGGAAGAATTTGCATACGCTGAAGCCAATAATGCAAGAGCTGTATTGCCATTTCCTCCTTCAGTATTTAAGGCCTCTTCTTGGGTATTTGTCTTCGTCCGCCCTGCATCATAAAACAAAATGGATCAGTACTTTTACCAAAATGCATTGCCAAGGAAAATCAAAGCTAAGAATCTATATTTTCAAACTTTTGAGATAGCAAACAAGATGTAAAAGGCATTTAGTTGCTTAAATACCTAAGGCATTTGTTCGTGTTCTATTATCATCCCAACCAAAACCCTATCATATCATTATGACATTTGGTACTGTGTAACAAGTGACCAGCTCATGACACTGGTGGCAGGACAACTCAGCTTTTTCAACCATCACAAAATGCAAGACAATCTTGTAGTCTTAGGATTTAAATATTGGAACCAATTAACTCAAGTATCTCACGGGTTTACATAAGCCCAGAAATCTACCTTCTGGACCCCAAATACATAACAAGAGAAAAGAATGAAGCCCAAAGACTCGCTATTTTACAGTCATTTTTTCATACAGGGAAGCATTTAAAAAAAAACAGGAGGAATAAGGAGGAGGCAGATAACTATTTCCAAACAGAATAAAGATGTAATAGAAAGATATCTATCTTGGCAACAAACAAGGAAAGGGAGCAAACAAGAAAGCCCCAGTCCATGCACATTTAGAGATAAGTAAGAGCCTACAGGCACAACATACGTAATTCTTCTCTACAGTCGGAGAAAATCAGGATCGGTTGGCCATGCAGTGTTATTACAGATAGAAGGACACTGACCATATAAATAGTATGCAACATACTTCCCAATGAGCATATGGAACAGGGCCCAAAAAAACCTAGAATGTGTAGTGGCTATTGATTATAACTGAGGAAACCCATAAACGATTGTTGATACAAGATGATACATAATATGAAATACTAGAAATGGAACTTGTAAAACCTGCCTGTCCGCATATTTGGCTCAGGAATATTTGCATCTTCGTGAGCAACAAGTTTATTGCTGCTAGGTACTCCAGAATCAACAACCCAATCATTAAAGAAGCTACAATCAGCAGACATAAGATATCTAGCTGCTAGTTCGCTAGGACGTACAATAGCAACACAGGAAAAGTTTAATAGCCCACATGTGACACACGAAAACAGTCTCTGATCTGACAATCCGTCTTCTTGATTAGTTTCATTGTTGTTGCCTGTTTGAAGTTGCTTAGAACTTGAACGGGATGAGTTGCCGTTTGCATCAAATGAGGAAATCCCCTTCCCTTCACACGACAGAGTAAACTTGTCTTTCACATAATGGACATTTTTTTCTTGCAGGATTCCACAATTTCTGTTGAACACCAGATCATCAGAACCAAAACCTTTTGAGGAATTCATTTCCTTGGATTTGCATACATTAATGGAAAATTCAGGGTTCACTTTTTGTTGCTGGCATCTGACACGTAATTTTGAGCAAATAGAAATGTCAACTGAACTGCGAGGAAGAAGTACTACAGAAGACTCTTTTCCGAGTACATGAAGCAAATCATTGTTTCGTAACACGTCCTGGACAAATAGTTCTTTGACTACAGAATCTCCTTCACCCTTTTTTTTATCTTTAAGACGAGAACTCCGTGGTTCCGCACTGATTCCTCCAGGGATTCTGTATGGAAAGAACAAGCATGTTTACATGAAGCATATATTAGAATACGTGAATGGTTCTAAAAATCATAGTATTTGCCCCATGAATAATCACACACACACAGACACACATGTTTATGTATTAACTAGAATGGTTCTTCTAAAGATGATAAAATTGGGGAATTACATCTTTAAACTTCATTTGGTTAACAATTTGATAAGATATTGATGGCACTCCTATGGTCAATTACAAAAGCCTAGAATATGGAAAGACAAACCTAGAACACAAAGCTAAGGCAAGGTCATAAAGTAACTGGAAATGTGAAACCATGGGAGGATAATTTATTGAAGCCCTTCGAATAGCAGCATCTTTAGCAACCCTCAACCACTCAGGTGTTGCTATGTTTGCTGCCTCTCCACAATTAAAACCTACACAATACACATCCAAAGCATTAGAAGCACTCAACTATTGGCAGAAACAATATTAACTAGGCCAATCCCCTGCCAGAGAGAGGAGGGGGAGGGGGCGTCGTTTGACCCTATGAGTAACATTCTTAAATTATCAAGTGTCTTACCATGACTAAACCCTGTGTGATAGGCTCTTGGAAATGTAACAACAAATTCTCCAGCATTTTGTACTAACCTGATCCAAAACAATTGAAAGTTAAAATCAAAATGCATATGAAGTATGAACCGCCATACATAATAATCACTGAAAATATGATTTCTATCATGATTGCCACATCTGTGATTGCAATATTAAAAATATATTATTAGAGATAAAAGAGAGCAACAACAACTAGGATGATGATAAGCTATTCTTTTAAAAAAAAGAAAAAGAATTTTCCAGAAAAAATTAAAGAGAAAGTAGAGAGAACCGAGCATGAAGCGTGTGGCTGGGCTTTCCCATCTCACAGCATATGAGAAATGGGAACTTCCCAAAACAGCAACAATGATGCACCAAAGATAAATATAATTCTATGCCAAAGTAAATCTAAAAAACCCTTAAAGATGATGTTAATCCTCCACAGTAACTGAATGCAACAAATAACTGCATAAACTAAACACTGCCACACCGTCATGGATTCCTAGTTTTTAACAAAAACAACAACACTGACCATCAGAAGCTGCTCTTACTTAATATTCATCAATTACACCACATAAATGATTCCAAAGGGAAGCAGTGGAGCAATTAAAACAAATTATTCAAAATGGAAATAGATGCTGTCATGATGAATTCGAAAATCTCATTAACTACTGCAGAAAAACAGTTAAATGTTTTGAGCATTTCATATACATCTTCAGCAAGAATGTAAATAACCCACAGACCACAGCAAAATGGCAGTGTAAGTAATTAATGGTTGAGATTTATCCAGAGGATTTACCAAATAAGAGCATAAAAAAAAATAGTGTAACAATCATCAAAAGTTAGTACCTGCAGCATGGAACACCAGCACTAATAAGCACTTCTGGTGACATCACTGTGGTTTTCTCACCCAGAATAGAAAATGCAACTGTTCACAGGAAAGAAGAGTCTTATAAGATATGTAACATGTGCATCCATTTATAAACACAAAAGTGAAGTGCCAGGTCCGCTCAATAATGTGAGAAATGGGACCAACCAATATTCATCATTAGTAAAATAAAATAAAAAATAGAACACTATAAAGCCTAGAAATGTGATGTATTTGTATAGAGAAAATGAAAGACAGGGGCTCATGCTCGAATAGGGGTAGAGATTTCTAAACCCCGTCTAGTGACATTTCACAAAAATTATGTTCAATCATTAGACCCATTCACTGCCTCCTTACACAGTGAATTAGGATCCTAAAATCAACAATATAAACCATGATTTTGTCATCTTTCAATATTACAATTCTAATTTTACTCACTTCTAACAGGCTGAGATTAAAACAGAGATTGAAAAGGAAAACAAAAACTCATAAGAATTCACTAGTAAATTTTGTTCTAAGTTTTAACAATAATGTCATGATTTGTGGGTGGATGTCACAAAACATGCATGCAGAGAAAGAATGAAACAAACCACCCACTAATGTACTAGAAAAAAATATAAAGATTGCAGAGAAACATGTACTGAGAATTGGTTCTTCTATATGACATTTTAGAAGTTTAGCCAGAAACCACAAAAAGAGATTCTTGTACAATACAAAATTACTCTGCATATCTCTAAGAAGTCAATATCATTAACAGAAACAGAACATCATAAACCTTATATATGAGAAGAAGCAAACAATGCTGGCATATACATAACCAGAACACAAAACAATGTATATCTACTCAATGATGTTTGAAAAACAAAAACACAGAGATTCCTGTACAATACAAAATTACTCTGCATTTTTCTGAAGAAGTCAATATAATTTACAGAAACAGAACATCATAAACCTTATATCAGACAAGAAGCAAACAATGCTGGCAGATACATAAGAATGAAACAAAACAATGTACATCTACTCAACAATGTTTAAAAAACAAAAACACAAAAAGTAAGGAAAATGGTGAGACTCTGACCAAGAGGGTTAATCTCTCCACCATAGCCATGAACCCTAACAACATCCTCAAAAGCAACCGCAGCATCCCTAGGAACACCATACCATGTCTTAGAAGCCCCCATATGAAGATAATTCAAGCTATGCAGATCATGATCCTCAACATGCCAAGCAAACCAGCTGAAAAGCATAGCAAGATAAACCATAGGCGAAGTAACCCCAGGAATCTCCTCCTTCATAAACCTCAACAAAGACCCTTTCGCCCTTGAAACCCCTCTCATATTCCAAGCACTATGAGCCACCGAAGCAGCCTCTCCAGCATGACGACATTGCGCCGAAAACGCAGAGCCAGGCATGTCGTTCGCATACTCAACTGAAAAAGGCTTATCAACCGTAGCCTTCCAAAACAGCGCCTCCGTTTCAAGAGCATTACCATTACCACTGCCCTTCTTGTTATGCTTCTTCATGTAACATTTCTCAAACCATTTTGCTTTCGCTTCGAACTCAGCAAAAGTGTAGTGGTCCCCACTCTGCCAGACAGGCCGTTTCACAGGCCGGGACCTCCGCGGACAGAACCCGATCTGCTGCTGACGTGTCGTGAATGTGGAATTAGGCAGTGACCTGTTGAGGTTAGCTATGGCGGTTTTCTTCGGTGACGGCGGAAACGGTGGAATGATTTTGCAGATTCCGTATTGTGATGCTTCCTTTTCGATCTTGAAAATGTAACCGATCGGATCTTCGAATTCCGCGGCGGTTGGTCGGTATTCGGGTGCTAGTGGCATGGATTTCAGCCATGGGAATACGTCGGCGTTTAATTCAGAAAGCACCATAGCAGCAAAGAGTTTTGTGATTGAATCACATTTAACTTATAAGATTCTCTAAAGAATTGGCATAAATTATTATTTATTTTCTCTCTATGACTCTGTTCTTTTGTTTTCCTCTGTTTTTCAATACTACAGAGGAAATAAAAATGAAAGAGTAACACTAGGTTAGTAGAATTTAGTAAACGAGCAGGAAATGAGTTTTACTCATGTGTTTTATGCCACTGTTTTCTCTTTTTATTTACTTAACTACCATTTTCATTTCTTTATTTTTCCTTCCTTTTTCTTTTTATAATTAATATTATATCATTTATTTTTAGTTTTTAGATAAAAAATTTCAAAAGATCATTGAAAAAAAAACGTTTGGTCAAATTTATTTTTTTTAAAATTAATTTGATCTTCTATTTAACGATTTTGGGTTTTTTATCCTCTTTCAATTTAATAGTTGACAATTTTGTTTAACAAGTCATGGTTGAGTTGGTGCCCTATAAGACAAATGGGTGATGCCATATCTTTTTAAAAAATTAATTAATTTTTAATATTATCTAAAATAATAGTATAAATTATTATGTTTATAAAAAAATAATTGACTAAAAAGATTTACAATAAAATTTTTAATTATTTATTTTGTTGATAGAATAAAAAAAATTATAATTATTTCTTATTTTTAGAGATTTTGAGAAAATAAATTATTGACATAAATGGGGTTCAAACCCTTCGTCTCAGTGAGCATGAGTCATAATGTTTGCCAACTGAAGCACAAATCATTTAGTAATTTTAGACGAAAATTTTAAATTAAATCAACCAACCCTAAGTGATATATCATTTCTCTTCTGTTTCTACCACCGTCTATCACTTTCCATTCTCTTATTCAAAATTTAAATACCACCAAAATCATGTTGAGAGACGAGATGGTGGTGTGACGTTGTCATACTGCACAACCTTTTAACCTATTTAGGGTCTTTTTTTCACCATCATCACTTACGTCTAGTTGTGGTGGTTTACAGGTGTTAGCTCACACGTCGTCGAATTATGGTTGACTGAACTTCAATGTCATGGGTACTGGATATCAAGAGGTTGTAAAAGCTAACTTGTTGTTGAGTTGGAAACTTTGCTGATTTGGTGTTCTGATTTTTCAACTATGTTGTTATATTACTTGATTTAAATTGTTCTTCGATTTAGGTTCTGATTTTGTGGTTGTTCGTGGTGTGTCTTGCCTTTGATCTTTGATTCTTTTCAAATTTGTTGAAATATGTAGTTTTCAAGGAGTTTGACTTGACGATACCACAACAATGATTTTGTTTTGTTTCATAGCCTTGTCGCCGCCTTGTTGGGCTTAAGATTTCTTAGTTATGCTTCATTGCGATCTAGGTTTGTTTATCTTAAAAAAGCTTGTATGCTTTCTGCGATTTACTTTAAGGAGTTGTTGGTACATGAATCGATTCGTGTTTGCTGTTGATTTATTCTCCATTACTTAAGATTGTGACGACCGTAGCACCCCGTTCTAATTTATTTATTTACTTAGATTGTGTGCTTTTAATTGATTAAATCGATTTTTATGCATTAAGTGGTGTTTTGGTGGTTAGTAGTAGTGTTTGGTGCATAGGGTTGGTAGTGCATAATTCTAATCATTTAATTAAATAATTGAATTAATAATACTATAATAATGAGAATTTTAATTAAATAATTAGAAGTAGTCATTTATTTAATCATGGAGACTTTTGATGGAAAATGAGAAAAATTAAAGAGTAGAAAATAAGGAGAATATTAGTAGTTTTTATTAAAATAAAAATCGAGTCAATATGAGCATGGTTGTAAATAAGAAAATAAGTGAGGGTATTATTGGAAGTATGGGTGTTCATGGTACAATTTAGTGAGAAAACTCTACCGAACCAAACTGAATCATAATAAAAGTTTCCCCAAACTGAAATGAACCGTTTCAATTTACTCAGAATTGAACCAAACCAAAATAATTGGTTTGATATACCGTTTCAATTTTTTATTAGTTTTGATTTAAATTTAAATTATTTGTGTTGTAAACTTTGTAATATACACTATTAGGTCTCTCTCTAACACATTAAATTAAATTAAATTTGTTTGAAAGCAAAAATAAAAAACACAATACAAATATACTTTTTAGTTTTCAATCAAGTACTTGATTGCTGGAATTTTATGGTTTAATTTTCTTTAACACATTAAATTTAATTTAATTTGTTTGAAAGTAGAAATAAAAAACACAATACAAATGTACTCTTTAGTTTTCAATCAAGGAGATAATCCTTCCATAAAAATTACATCTATAATTATAAAAATAATGTATTAATATTACAATCAGATGAAAATTGACATATAAGTTTTTATCCATGATTAGATATTGTAGGAGCAAGATGAAGATCATTTTATATTACTGATTGTGAATTAATTGATAGTGTGGTTCAACAATACATAACTTTAAAGTTATAAAAGAAAAAGTTTATTATCGGTCTATTCATGACTTTTATGTGTTAGAAATATGAATATAATTGAATCTCTTCTTTTCATTTACTTTCACCTGCATGCATTTTGTTTCTTCTCCCATCAATTTTAATTTTTTATATCTCATCTCGCATTCACTCATATATAAGCAAATAACAAGTTATAGTAACTGCTTCGCTTTTAAACCTATTAAAAGAAAAAAAAGACTATGTCAAATTAACGTATTACTTTTCTATATTAGTATAGATACAATAATTTGTTTTTATTTTCAAAAGACACAGATAATTCCTCCCTTTCGTGTTGTCCACTTTCTTAACATTTAACAAAACTCTAACCAAAATCAAAACTCTCTTATTTTATTTGAAATTAAACATTATTTAACTCTACTAAAATTAAATTTTCAACCAAAGTGTCTCATAAAAAACATCATAATATATTGCAAGATGTATCAGGCTCATCCCACCTAGCCATGTGTAGCACAGCAACTGGTTGGGCCTCGTGGTATTGTGGGTAAGAATATTGAGGAGGTGTTGGTTGGGGTTGGGTCTGGTAGTGTTGTGGGTAGTAGTAATGAGGAGGCACCGAGTAGTATTGTGGGTAGTAGTACGGATGAGGCATTATCATATAGGGCGGCACATTAGATATTTGATTCGGATTCACTGGATCTGAACTCGCTGGTTCGGGCTTATTATTTTCTTCGGACTTACTCTCTTCATCAGCCTTTTCTTCCGGTTTTTTTGTTTCTTCAGGCTTGTCTTCAGGTTTTTCTTCTGTTTTTTTAGTTTCTTCGGACTTTTCTTCAGATTTTTCTTCGGGTTTTTCTTCAGGCTTTTCTTCAGGTTTTTCTTCGGGCTTTGTATCTTCTTCAGACTTCTTTGGAGAATCCGGCTTTGGAGGATCTGGGACAGGAAGAGGCCCGATACTTAGAATATGAGCACTTTTCCCGGCTTTCCTTATTCGAACTATTATGTCATATGGATCTGCATTCCCTTTTATAGTCAATGTTCCTTCTTCTTCATCTGCTTCTATTTCATCTATGCCTGCAAGTCAATATTTATAATACTATTTCGTATGAGCCAAATGTTTTTGTATGCAATTACAAACACTAATTAACCGTGACAAATATTTTAATACTATCATATTTAATAATGATTTAACTGTAAACTTGAGTCTATAAAAATTTCTCAACAACATATATTCAATCCTTAAAAAAGACAAGGAGAAATGAGATGGGAGACTAAGTAGTAAATGTAGTTTGTGTCTAATGTTGTGATTATCTCGAAGAGATGAAACAACTTTGATGAGCTTCTTTTTGCATTTGAGACAATCAATCTCAACCTTTAAAACAATTAGCTTAACCATGGGGAAATTATCAATACACAAGTTAACGTTTTTGATATCACTAGTCTAATGTTTGAGTAAATAAAACACACGATATCTCAAATTTTACAATAACTTTGGTGTTTTCAACTATTACAATTGTTGATTTTTATTTAAGGTGACTCTAACGAGGAAAATATTATAGGCTGCTTTAATGGCGCACACATAGTTTTTCAAACTTTATGATAATTTTGATATTTTCAAATATTATATTTAGTCAATTTTATTTTCAAGTGAATCTAATGGGAAAATATTATAGACTACTTTGACTACTATTTTCCTTTGTTAACCCTTTCCAGCGAAACATCAAGACTAATTTGATTTTTCTTATCTAAATTTTAAATAAATTGATAAATAATGGTTCTCTTTTGTGATTTTCTGCAAATTGCATTATTATCTTTATTTGAAAACAAAAGTTGAAGTAAAAAATTAATCTTTCTATTTGTTATTTGTTTGAGTATTAAAAATAAGTCCTTCTAGTTGAAACAATTTAACCATTGAATTTGTCACCACATTTGACGAGAATCTCGCCGTAACCCACCATTGGACCTCAAATATTAGGAACAGAAAAACAAAATTGAAAGGGTATATAAATTGAAAAATGATTTTTTTTAACATTTCAGTTTAATTAAAATATTCAAAAGATTTAATTTTTTTCAATTTTTATTGTAAAAAATATTTTACAATAAAATATATTTGGAGTGTAATAGTTTTCACACATTTCCATGTACAAAATATGGTCGGTTCATGTGCTTAAGTCAATATAAAAATGAAAAATCATGTTTAAATGAGAAAAGATTTAAATACTTGAGAAATGACGATCTTCCTTCTTCAAATTGGAGAAATAGTCGACAACTAAATGCGTGAGGCTAAGTGTGGATTGCGGTCAGATTGAACTATACGATTATCAAAGTATTTATGGGTAGGAATAACAATGAGTATCCATTATTAGGAGTACTAATCTTCTATTATCTACCTTGTTTTGTTGGAATTAAACCAAATTTTCAATATGAAATTTCACTAAATTTTGGAGAATTTCGAATCAAATCTTGATGAATAAGAATCAATCTTTATAATTGATTATCCTTTTTATTCTTCACTCTTCACTCGAGTAAATCAACTAACCTTGGTTGTAAGATGATATATCGCCGCAC